CGTCACCAAACCACCGCTCGAGCGGTGATCTTATGTGCAAAATGGTCAATTTGCGATTTTGGTAAATTTTTGAATCCTATTTTACTTCAAACACTCTATTATTTTATAGACTTATTATCGTTGATGATGCGTTGTTGAGATTTAATGAGATACCCTCAACTTAGACTATGGAGGAGAGACAACGTAAAGATCGAAAGACCCTATCACAGATACATCTTCATCTTTCGAATAATACTCTTCAGAACGTTTTGAAGGAAAAAATTATTGCTACATTATGGTTGAAATTAGAGCAGTTATGTAGACGAAAAGTTTAACCATCAAATTTCACTTGAAGCAGCTATTGTATTCTCATTGTATGATTGAAGGTACATCACTGGAAGATCACCTAACTTTTTTAAGGAAATCATCACTGATTTGGAAATTTTAGAGGTTAAGTATGATGAAAAAGATTTAGGGTTGATATTATTATGTTTGTTGCCCGCTTCATACATATTTTTTAGAGATATGATTTTATATTGATACTTTCACCATTGAAGAAGTTTATGATGCTCTGTTTTCAAATGAGAAGATGAAGCATCTTGTTGGATCTAAGGTTCATGCACATGGCATTGTAGTTATGGTGGTTATGTGAGCGGTAGATTAAGGTCTAATTACAGTAGTAAAGTCTGTAATTATTGCAAGAGATGATGGCACATTAAGAAGGATTGTTATAAGTTGCACAACAAGGAAAAATTAGTTGATGGAATTTAGAAGGAAAAACAATAACAAAATTCAGAGGAAGCCAGTATTACAAAAGATATCTTCAACGATGGAAAACTTCGAGTGATTTTTTACGACGACTCCAAACTTGATGAGGATTGAATTCTTGATATGGCTTCCACTTTTCATACGTGTCCTGATTAAGATTTATTTTCAACATATGAAACCGTTTCCAAAGGTGTCATGATAACAAGAAACAATTCACCTTGCAGGTTAATTGTATTGGAATGGTTAAAATTAAAATGTTTGATGGGACATCAGGACACTTGATGATATAAGATATATTTTAGATTTGAAGAGAAACCTTATCTCGTTGAGTACTCTTGATTTAAAAGGGGAAAAGTATATTTATGTAGGTGGAGTTCTGAAAGTTAGTAAATGTGATCATGTTGTGTTGAAGAACAAAAAAGGTTCAAGTTATATGTATTGCTTGGTTCTATAGAACCTTTGGATATTAAGTAGCAGAAATTAGGGATTCAGGTGGATTTTGAGTTTGGTATAGTACTGTTGGGCTTTAGTTTAATGTCTATAATAAAGAATACATCTCAATCGTGTTGAAAAGTTATGGATAATGTCGTTTTGCCACCACCACCAACGGTGCCACAATATTCAATTGTTAGATACCGACCCAAGAGAGATATTAGGCTTCCACAAAAGCACAGTAAAGCTTATTTAGTTGCTTTTGCTTTCGTACAGTTGAAGATATTGAGTCTAGCAAAGAATCTTCTACATAAGTAATTAGTTGTGTTGATTCTATTATAGGGCATGTTTTTGTCATTTTTGGTAATTATTATTAAATTATTTGTGATCTTGTTGCTCATGGGATAATTCGAGAAACTTTTGGTGTCCAAGTTAATCCTATTCAGCGGTGCTTGGATTCAGTTGATTTTCAATTATTAAGTTTGCCCCGGTTAGACTTTGTTAAAGAACTAGAGAATTTATTTCAGTTGGAGAATTTTTTGGTGAAGAATTTTATTTTTCTTATTTTTGTTGGAAGAGTTAAATTTTATTCCTTGTAATGGAGAAGTTTTTAAAGTTTTGTTCATAGCAGTGAAATTCGTGTCAAGGTGGAGATATGTTAGAATTAAGGTATGACCTAAATTCTATTTCGAAGACTAGTTGAGAATTCGAGTTAAAGTCTATTTGAGAATTGTAGTTGAAATTCATTTTGGGAGTTTAATTGAGAGTTAATGATTTGTGTTGGACATGAAGAAAATTTGAAGAAGTCCAATTTGCAATAGGAGAGGATAAAATCGTGGAAGGAGAATGAAGCAATGCATCAATGCTTGCTAAGCGCTAGGCATCTAGATCGACCGCTCAAAATAGGACCGCCTTCGCTCCCTAACCACCTACGGTCGCTCGAGCGATCAGCCACTGCTTGACGTCCGATAGATCGTCGCTCAAGTGGCGGTCTTATCTAAATAATGATTAGTTTGCGATTTTGGCAGATTTTTTAATCCCATTTTTATCCCAAACACTCCACTATTGTATAAACTTGTTATAGTGAACTCCACCACATCTTAGTCTTTTCTTTGCACAATATATGTAAGGAGTAAACCTCTACAAAAATCAATCATTATATTCTGCACAATAATTTGTAATTTTTCATTATTGATATTAATAAGGGTCTGTTTGATTGGAAGGATGGAATTTGGGTGGAAAGAAAATGAATTTCAGGGAATTGAATTGCCTATAATTCATTTTACAGGGAATTGTCATTTAATTGTGTTTGATTTGTATAATTTTTCACTTGAAAAATGTTGAAATTTCTCATCTTTTGATGTTTGATTGGCTTTAATTTTCCACCTTTTTTTACTGCAATCTCCTTCTGCCATTGAGTTCCCACCTCCACTATTTCCACAAGTACCGGAATCACGCCTTCCTCCACCACTGCCACCCTGGCTTTCGACATTGATACCAGTAAAGCCGCCATTAACTCCACCAGCAGAGCTCAAAACAAAAGCTGATTTATCTAGCGTATTCGACCCAAAATCTGCCATTAACTCCACCAGCAGCACCAGATTTCCCTCTGCCGCCACCAACACCATCTTCTTCTCCTTCAAACTCCACTCTTTTCCACTCATTCTTTTGCCTCTTCCACCATCGAAAACAACTGAATTTCACCAACTAAGAATATGAAGAATTAGAGGGCGACCCATACGACGTTGCTTCCCTCCCAAACCCTCACTACGACTTCACTCCCCTCCTCAACTTCTTCTCAACCTCCCAGTTGATTGATAAGAAGCGAGTAGGAGAACCGAACTGGGGAGGTGGTGGAAAAGCAATGACATTTCTTGGAACCCGGCGGTGACCCCGACACTGGCGATGACGTTGTGAGATGAAAGATTGCCAAGAAAATGAAAACCCACCTCTACCATAGGAAAATCAATTCCTTAATTTTGTGGAAAAACCCATCACGTGACCAGAAATGAGAAATCAAATTGCTTGGAAAATATTCGCTATCAAACAAGCCCAAAGATGGAAAATGATGAGATAATTTCCATCTTGCCTGGAAAATAGTTGCTATCAAACGGGGCCTAAGATGTTCCTCTTTTCCTAGTGGAATTTTTTTACCATGTAAATCTTGTGTTCTCTATTGATTTTCATATTGTCATATTATTCTCGTTCCTTTATTTAACAAACACTTCTTTAAATGTCTAATCTACTCAATCAAAGATGTCCCTCGTGTCTTGCAATCTTATTAGTTATTTTCTACATTGGATAGTTATCTTGTTTGAAATTTCGACCTTTGCATTAGCTAGATTTCTTTTAGCCTCCAACTCAAGCTACATTTGCCTCAGATAATTTAAATTTAATTTGTTTGAACAATTGATAAATTACATTACATATTATTAAGGATCAATTCCAATATTATTAAACGTGGTGTCACGAGTGATAGGGTGAGCATATTATTCATATTATTCTCCAGGCAAGTATAGAAAGTGGCAACATTTATCACGGGGGTTATGCATTACTCAACAGTGTGAAAAAATTTAAATGTAACTAAAATCCATAATGCCACTCATGGGCGGAACCAAGGCGGGTCCTGGGGGGGCATTGAGATTTTTTTTTAAAATCACGTTTGTTATCGATTGAAATTTAAATTTTAATATAAATCAAAGTTAACAATTAATTTTAATAACTTATTTTCATGGAATTCATAACTATTTAATTTGTACCAAAATTTACTAAAAATTT